TAATAATAATAATAATAATAATCATACATACATACATACAAACATATACAAATGCTAAGTATTGTTATTGCAATCACAGTAATCCTTATAGGGTTATCCACATATTGTGGGGGGACAGAGGTATTCTTGGGGACCAAGATGGGCTTGAGGCAGTCTGAGATGTGAATAGGTACCTACATGTGGAGTGAGGGCAGACAGCTACTGTGATCTATAGTCCCTTTTCCAAGCACATCACAGTACCATAACTGCCTGAATATGGAGGCACCAGATAATACAACCAATCTCTCCATCTGATCCCAGCAAGACATGATCTTGCCAGTGACCCTGCATATTCCTGCAGGTGATTTTATGGGGGTCAAAAAGCATCCGGCCTACTGTAAATCATTGGCCCAAGCAGTGTGTCTTTGCCTCCCCAAAGCAAAGAGTTATCTCTAGGACATGTGCATAGCCCAAGGTCTTCTCTTTGAATTAAGGTAAACCACATTTTTAAAAATCATCTGTTAAAACAAGTTGTTGCATAAAATTTGACAGACTGTGATTGTTGTTTTTATGGGACTTCTAAAGATAGGTTTCCTGGAGGGCTGTTCCAGAGTGGTTGGTATCTGTGGAACCAATGAAAAATGCTCTATTTTGGTTTCGGAAATGGGGTTTGATGCAGCTATCAACTATAAGGAAGAGGATGTGGTGCAACGGCTGCGTGTGCTCTGTCCAGATGGAGTGGATGTATACTTTGATAATGTCGGTGGAGACATCAGTGCTGCAGTGATAGGTCAAGTGAGTTTCTGCTATTCTTTTTTCCTATTCCCTGGTGTTATTCCAGATTCTTTGGTGCAATTTTACTGTACATCTGGCTGATGAAAGGTAGCCATTGTGTGAGACGGAATGCTGGACTAGATGGATCGTTGGTCTTATCCAGCAGGGCTCTTATTATATAGTTATGTTCTTAGCATGATACTTCTTCTCTATAACCCTACCCAAGTAATAACTTAGGTTTTTATGGTCCTTGTGTGATTTCTTGAAATGTTAAAGAAACATAATCTCCTTTCAGAAATGCTGGGGTAAGCTGAAACTTACAGGGACAGATAGGAAAGTAGAAAAGTTATTCAGTACCCAAGTGTTTGTTGATGAACTGTCTGCCAAAGCTCTCTACTATTTTGCAAGTCTTTCTAGTTCTTTATTTGGCTCATGGTTTGTTCTTTATAGTCTGTGCATTACTACACTGTGCTACTACCATGCACTCAAAATGACAAAGAGCAGTGTGCTGCCCTTCTGAGCATATCTGGGCGTTCAAAGGGCAGCAACCAGATCATTGGTGCCATCTGGCTACAGAGAGCACATTATACTTTTGGTTAGCAATTAGTCTATGGATTTGGCTCAAAGTCCTGGCATTGACCTTCAGAGCCCCATATGATTTGAATCCATGTAACTTGAAGTAATGCCTGATTATCTTATTATTATTGACAAAATTTATGCACTGCCTTCCTGCCCTTATTAGGGCTGCCAAGGTGTAGTTAACAGATTTAAATTATAAAGAATAAAAACACATAAATCATTAAAACCATGCAAAAACACATCATTCTAACAAAACCAAATTAAAATACACATACAATAAAATACACATACATAAAAAAGAAAAAGAAAACAGGGCAGGAAGGGGGGATTACTGAGGGAATGCACATGAAACAAAAAGGTTTATCTAGTTCCCTCTTGAAGGTGTCTCTGCTTGTAGCCGCCACCACCTCCTGTGGCAGTGAATTCCATATGTTAATCACTCTTTGGGTGAAGAAGTACTTCCTTTTATCTATTCTAACCTGACTGCTCAGCAATTTCATTGAGTGCCCAAATACTTTGTATTTTGTCTCTATTGGTATCTGCCATGATCAGGGCTTTTTTTGTAGAACTAATTAGCATAATAGGCAACACCCAACAGCAGACACTCATTAGCATATTAGGCCACACCCCTGACACCACAGCTCATTAGCATATTAGGTCACACCCCATGCCTTCCCTTGCCTTGCCTGGGCGCCCTGCAGTTGTGGGGAGCCCGGGCAAGCCCCCCATTGAAGGGAAGACATTTAAATGCCTCCCCGATCCTTTCAGGGAGCCCCCTGGCCCGCCCACCTCAGAGTCGCGGGGGTGTGTGTTGCTCTCCAGGCCTTTCCTCCGTAGCCAGGCACGCAGAGGTTTTGGCTGTAGTGGGCGTGGCCAACTCTGAAGCCAGCCGGAACTCCGTTCCTGTGCGTTCCTGCCCAAAAATAGTCCTGGCCATGATAACCTATACCTAAGCTAGTTGGTAGGATACACATCTATATATATATAAAAGAACGTCCCCTCACGTAAAATCAATGCCCAGGCGAAACCGCTGGACCTAGAGACACCAAATTTGGGGAGAGTGCTCCTACTGTGGCGTAGGTGCTCATTAAGAAGGGATTTTTAGAAATTCGACCCCTAAGTGGGTCAGAAGGGGGGAAAT